TACCCTTCCCCCCCTTTTCTCCAGCCATAAGATTATTTACTATGTCTGCAAGTCTGTTTCTGTTTTGTAGCTGAGTTCGTAGAGTCCTTTTTAAAAATTGTTTTTAGATTCCACACATGAGTGCTACATGGTATTTTTCTTTCTCTTTCTGGCTTATTTCACTTAGAATGATGATCTCTACGTCAATCCATGTTGATGCAAATGGCATTATTTTATTCTTTTTTATGGCTGAGTACTATTTCATTGTATAAATATACCACAACTTCTTTATCCAGTCATCTATCGATGAACATTTAGGTTGCTTCCATGTTTTGGATAAGCCTGGTAACTTACCCTGAGAAAGGGAGTCATGTTTAACTAGCAGAACCTATGCGGTGATGCATAAAGCTGCCAGACACCAGTACCCCAGTCCCTCAGGTGTTGCTCTGTGGGACAGTTCTCACTCCCTCTGCTCCTCTAGACAATCTCCACATTGTCTAAAAGCTGGAAGCAAGATGTCAGGAAAAAGCCCTTTGAAAACTAAAATTCCCTGCCTCCCTTGACTCCCGACCTTCCACCCAATCACATAGCATACCCGGGAGTACTGCAGCTTGTCCACAATGTCGTCACTAGTCAGGGGGATTAATCCTGGAAGACAAAGAAAAGTTCTTTAAAGACGGCCTAGGGGCCAACCCAAAAGGAGTCCCCTTGGTAGTGAGGAGACTTCCCCCTCTGACACCCGCACAGCCCCCTCCTTTTAACTTTCCAAACTCAGCACTCACCAAGCCTGTGAGCAATGAACTCGTCATGAAGGACTGAGGAATTGGCATCAATCTGAACCCAGTCAATTGCTAAAGAATGAAGCAGAGAAGCAGACATGAAGTTTAGCCACCAAATTCACCTGAAGACTTCAAAAGAGTGGTTCTCCAGATTTAAAAATCATCTAATGATTACGTAATTGCAGAGACTTGGGCCAGGCTGCCAAAGATGCTTGATTCCACAGCTTTCGAGTGGGGCCCAGGAAGTTGCATTTTAAAAAGAACCACACACAGCACACCTCACTTCCCTACTCAGGCAGATGTGATACAGGGAGTTCCCTGTACCACCCAGAAAAACACTAACATAGAGAATATCATGGGAGTGGGAACATGTTTCTTTGAGCTGAATATTTCTGTGGGAAGCACTTAAATCTGCTACCTTTGCCAACACCAAATCCAATGACACAAACTATTTGGGCACTTACAAGTTAGACAAACCTCAGAAAAGTAAGGAACTTATGGTACATACCTCATTTTATGATATAATAACCAGCTTACCCAATTTAATACTTTATTATCACTCAACCAACTAATGCTTACAAAATTCCTTTAATGAGCAAGGCATACTCAGTACATAAGTCAATCCCTACCAGCAATGAGCTAGTAGGAGGGTAAGAACTGTACAGCCACACACACTTGACTTAAACACACATTTATTCACTCATTCATAAATAAAAATCTGCACATAAACAATTAAATTCAGAAAGCAAATGGCATTGGAGTCTACTTGCCAATTGGGGGTGTGGACACCAGGAACAGAGATCAGAAGAGGACCAGACACGGCCAAGCCCCAACCTACTTTGTCCTATGCTGCCTTTTGTTTCCTCAACTCAAGCCAAACAAGGGCCATGAGCCAAGCTTTTCTGCTTCTGTCTCCCACCTCCCCCCCACCCATAAGCCCTTAACTTCTCCAGTGTAGGTTAAAATCCTGAGCCTCCTATGAACCAAGCCTTGCTTGCCCTCCATGGTACAGAGAGGAACACTCCCTCTAAGCTCTTCCCTTCCAGAACTCTGTCTAGAATTCTCTTAAAACACTTGGCATATTTTTCCTTGTGTTATAATTCTGTGTGTCTTGTCTCTGCCTCAAGCTTCAAAAATTCCTTGGGGCAGGGTCTTCAGATGTCTTAACTTCTGTATTCCTAGCTGTGGCCTAGAATGTAGCAGATGCTCAATATTATTTGTGGGAAAAGTGGCACTTAGAATGTCAAGGCTGCATCAGAGTACAGTTCCTGCACTCCAAGCTCTGAGTTGAAACAGTCACTGAGGGTGGTAATGGAAAAACTACAACGTTCTCTTGTTTACCAGTCATTTGGCCTGCTTCTTTCCTTAGGAGTTTGCATGCCTGGTGCAGCAGCTATGACTTACATTTCTTTTTCCTAACCCAAACTCTGAGCTGACACTCAGAAAATATTTGCAGAATATGTAAATATGTAAAACACCCAATGCGAGTGGCTAGAACTGAAGCAGAAACAGATCCTCCCTCCTCGAAGCGCCAAAAGCACTGTAGCTATGCTTCTCCTTAACTGATCCAAGTCGATCTCGCATTAGCGGTTGTCTGTGGATTCATCTTTTCCCTACAGCTTCACTGTGAGCCCTATGAAGGCAAGAACCCTGTACTTTACAGCTCTGCATTCACACCACTGCATTACCTGGCACTTACATGTCCTGTTAATGCAGCTGACAGAACAGATTCATAAGAAGATATCTCCCGGTACTGGACACTCACTAAATACAAGGCATTAAATAGAGATTACCCCACCTAATCCTTGACATCGCCCTAGGCCAATGACACAGGGTCCGATCAAGTCTCCAGTACTGCTGTTTTCTCAGCGTCCCCACCCCGTCCCAAACCAAAGCTGGAGGCTGAAGCGCCAAGGTATGGGGAGGTAGGGGAACTGGTGGCCCTGGCAACGAGGAGGCAGGGGTCGCTTACCTATTATGGGCACCTCAGCAATGAAGACTCTCCGGATAGAATTTGCCACCCTGAGGGATGAAAACCAAGCAGCATGTGGGCACCTCAGCCTCGACTGGCCGGCCCCGAGCCCCCAAAAGTCCCAAAGCTTAAGCCCGGGAGCCAGTTCCGGAAATACATCCCGCCCCTCCTGGATCGTGCTCTGGGCTCCCCAAAGCCGCCAGCCTCTTCCCTTAGTAGCCTTACGCCAGGTCCGTATTCTCGATGATAAACTTGACATTCTCGTCGGTGAGTTCCGTGATCCTCACGGTGGGCTGGTTGGCGTACGGCATCCTACCTCACCACTCAGCGGGCCTCCAGCGTCTGCCGCTCTTCGACTGCGCCTGCGCTAACACGAACTCCGCCACGGGAAGTCGGTCAGCGCGGCCCTGCCGCTTCCGGGGAGACGCGCTCGCAGCGCCACAGCGCCACCTGCTGCACGGAGGCCGGATAGCTCTGGCCCGACGCTGTCTACCAGCCACCTGCTTTAAAAGTCAAGTTCAACCATTTAGAGGGTGATTTGGCAGAACAGGCACACGCCCTTGACTCAACAATAACACGTTTAGGAATTCATACTGCAGACGTAGTTGCAGTTGTAAGCAAAGATACAATATAGGGACGTTCATTGCAGTAGTTTGTAACAGCAAAAGATAAAGCTACTTGCTATTGACTGAGACCTGGTTAAATATACAGACATAGGAATAGTATAACGTCTTTCAAAAGAATGACGTTTGTACATATATGGAAGAACAAAAGTACAGTCAGCCCTCTGTATCCAAGGGTTTTGAATCTGTGTATTCAATTAACTGAAGATCAAAAGAAAAAAAATTTCGTGAAGTTCCAAAAGGCAAAACTTAAATTGGCTGCATGCCCAGCAACTATTCACATAGCATTTACATTGTATTTACAACTATTTACATAGCATTGAACATTGTATTGGGTATTAAAAATAATCTAGAGATGATTTAAAATATATGAGCAGCCACTCTCTAAGTGAGACAATTGCACTGTCTATGGTGTGCGTAATTACTTTTACTTAAACCAAGCACTCAACACCCACACCTCGTGGCCTTTCTCTTGCCTTCTAAAACGGCCTGCACTCTATGGAGTATGTATCTCTAAAATCTACCTTTACTCAAAATAAATAAATAAATAAAGTATATGAGACGTTATGCATACATTATATGCATACTACACCATTTTATATAAGGGACTGAGCATCCGCAGGTTTTGGTGGTGGGGGTGGGAATCAAGGTCCTGAATAAGGAGGGATGACTGAGTTCTTTAGTAATGAGTGAGTGTACTTTAGCAAAGTATACTTGAATGATAGGTTTATACCCTTTCCCTTCCACCCCCACGTCTGGATCACACACTTTTGAAACTGCAAGAAGATACAACGCTCTTTAACATATTGTTTATAGTTCTGTGTGGTTGCCGTGGGTGGGTTATGAGCTCTTCATCTCTGCATCGTCAGTGCTGGGCAATGTGTGTCACATAGGGTGAATGTTCAGCAAAGAATTACTGAAGTCCCCTAAACAGCCTAGAGAGAGGTTTGAATGGTCTCAAGAAGCTTATATAGAGAAGAGGGCCTAAAATAGAACTTGGCAGGGTAAGTCATTTAGGGGACACGAGAGTAATCAGAGGGGATAAAGAGGAGCTTGCCTTAACAAGGAGTGAGATCTCCTTCCGGGACAGAGAGGAAGGGCATTGAGGAGACCCTTGCTCCACATCCTGTGTCACCTCAGTAAATTAAGAAGGTTGTCTGCTGAGTGCGAGAGGGATGTGATAAAAGGATAAAGGAGAGAATGGAATGAAATTTGGAATAGCTACAGCAGGGAACTTGACAGGATGTCGAAATAAAAGAATTAAGAGAGGTGCAGAAAAGGCTTAGAGGAAGGCCCACAAGAAGAGATTGGAAATTTCTACTAGCTTGTTACTTCCCCCATCAATATTCAGTCTAGCTAGGGAGGAGACAGCAAAACAAAAGACGGATGCTGTGGACTGAATTGTATCCCAAAACATTGAAGCCCTAACCCCTAATGTAAAGGTATTTGGAAATGGGGGTCTTTGTGAGGTCATGAGGGCAGGACCCTTGTGATAAGATTAGTGCTCTCATAAGAACAGGAAGACACCAGAGCTCTCTCAGTGCCATGTAAGAACAGAGACAGCAGCCATCTGCAAATCGGGAAGAAAGCTCTCACCAGGAACTGAATTGGCTGGCACCATGATCTTGGAATTCCCACCCTTCAGAACTGAGAAATTTTGTCACAGCAGCCCGAGCAGACTAATACAATAGTGATAATCAGACTTGCAAAGAGAGTCCAGCCTGTGTAGAGGCTGAGAGAATTAGTAATGGCTAGTGATGACATGGGGAGCCAAAGGAGCTAATGGTGAGGGGGAAAAGACCCTGTCATCCACATTTTACTGATGGGAAGGCTGGGCCCACAGATGCAAAGCAGTGATAACTGCCCAGCAGTACCAGGCAGCACCAGGACCAGAACTCAGGTCTCCTGGCTGCTGGCTTCAAGCCTTTCCCACAACACTGCTGTGTCCCTCTGGAGTCTTGGATTATCTGTCATGGTAGGGAAGCTTACTACGCCAACAGGAAACTGCTTCAAACATTTATTACAATTTTTACAGATTCTAAGTTCACTAATAATCCTGCAACGTGTGCTGGTTTAACGAGACATGAGGCCTGGGACCACACCTCTGACCAGGCCAAGCACTGCTGTCCAGCAAGCACAGGTCTAAGATGAGGCCGCCTGCTCAGGGGGTTCCCAGGTGCAGCAGCTCAAGACCCTGGAGAAGGAAAGGGCAGCATGGAACACCCTGTGTGCACTGGCCTGTGCTGGGCTGTGGATGAGCTGCCACTTGGGGTGGCTTCAGACTCTGACTCCATCTTGCAAGCCCCAGGGAACACTTCTAAAAAGGCTGACATGATCTAGGTGCCTGAGAGACCATGACAGGGATGTGCTGGGTTTCCGTGGCTTGAATGCTTGATCGAGTGCCACATTTTTCAGTCACGTGGCTGCAATGCAGAAAGGCATGAGGAGGCCTGGCCTGGTGTTAGGAACTGAAGAAGTGGCCCAATCCCAGGTTACAACTGTTTGATCCAGTGCCCCGTGGTTTCCAGGTGGCTGTGGTAGTGTGGCACAGTCTTTTGGTGTTCTCTTGTTAACACCCTGTTCCGTGGACAGCTCTTTGTGTTTCAAAGCCATTTAAAAGTATCTGCAGGTTTTCTTCTGGGAACTCTAGCTTACACACCTGCTTGCTCACCGGCGCTGGTTTAGACCCGTCAAGTTCTTGAGCTGATAAAGGGATGGAAACAGAGTGATGAACTCTTGCCCTGCCTCTAGGATGCCAATGGGAAAGATCTAGATTTTCAAGGTGGCATGAGTGGTTATGATACAGAGATCTGACATACCAGGGTCCTGGGAATCAGCACTGTTTCTTGATGACAGTATAAAAATAAAAAGGTGGGATATTTGAGATCTAGAGATTGGGACTGAACGACTGTCAGTCTTACTATTAGCTTTTCAGTCTAAGGCTACAAAACTCCTTGGGGTCAGTGACACACGTAAGAATCACAGCGCTGGAGGTGGATGGGCAGGGATGAGCTGGGCGGTACTCACTGTCACTGCTGCTCCCATAAGTCCTTGCGCCAGGGCCTCTCCGGTGGACTTCACCTAGGAGGGGTCAGAATCAGGTTCTCTTAAGCCCCCACCTCTAGCTGATTTGATCTGCCTGGTGGGGCAGTAGGCCTATTTGTCCTGACAGGTAGAGTCAAGAGGGCCCTGTGGACTGGAGGAGGAGCTATGGACAACACAATCACAAACGGGCCAAGTGTGGCTCTTAGGGAAGGGCTGGGATGAGGAAGAACCACTCAGGTTCCCTGGGAAGGTCCTGAGGACTGTCAGCTGAGGCCGCAGGGCAGCAAGAGAACAGACAGGTGACCAGTGTGGCCTGAGGGGGACAGTGTGTCTACTGAGGCTTCCCAAATGGCTAGCCCCCAGTTACCTGCTTGGCAGTGTGGCCCATGTTCATTGCATCCTTAATTCGGTTTTCCAGGAAGCGCCAAGTGTCCTCAAAGTCTGGGGAGGAGTCCTGCATCATCACCAGCTCTGTAGTGTTGTAGATGCCAGCCAACACAGCTCGGCGGGTGTACCAGTTAAACTGCAAAGAAACCCATCCAGGAAGGTGGCTCACCACTATTGCTGTGGGTTGGGAGAAGCCTGGAGTAGTTCCTACTCAAAGCCACTGGTGCTCATGGGCTCCCTCCTGATTTCTTCTTTCCCTCACAGATACACATGGCCCTCTGGACAAGACTGCTGTTCCCAAACTAGGCTAGGCATCAGAATCATCTGGGAGATAAAGACGCAAGCTCCTGGACCCAACCTCGTAAGAGTTTAGAGTCAGTGGGTCTGAAGCAAGTGCCAGGATCTGGATGTTTAATAAGCATCCCATGAGACTTTCCTACACCCACTCGGCTTTGGAAATACCAGTGAAAGCCTAAGTCTCAGGACATCTAAGCTCCAGGGAGGCTCTGTGTTCAGCCAGTTATGACCAAACCTTGGTGTGTTCATCGGTGAAGTGAGGGCTGAGACAGGATCACGGACAGACTGGAACACCTGGGAAGAGCTGAGAGTTCAAGTCCTTCAGCAACTTCCAACTGTCCCGGCCAACCACTCCAGAGCACTAGGTCAGCTGCTTCATGTTTTATCCCTCTAATTTCTTTACTTTCTAATTTTATTTTCCTACCATCTCTGTTGGTGGTATATTTCCACATGGGGGGAGTTTATTAAAGCACTTTGTTAGAACTGTGGTGGGAGCATCTCTTTGCCTCCCATCCTGGATTCCACAAAGTATCATCACATATTAATTTCTTTTATGAAGGTATATATATATATACATTTTAAATTTCCTACCAGAAACATGTAGCATTAGCAAGTCAGATCCTTTCCTGGTACCTGTTTAAAGGCATATTGATCTCTTAGCAAAGCAGGCCAAGATGGGCTGCGGGGGGGGGGGCAGTTTCCTTTTAAAGCAATGGGAGTCTCCAAGGCATTCTTTTTTTTCTTCCCCAGTCACTCTCATAAAAGACACATACTGAGGAAGTCTGCTACAGAATCTAAATCTTAGTAGACTGAGGGGGTGACTCCTCATGGCAGCCCAATCACAAGGCCCTCTGATGCCCTGTGTTACCACTCCAGGGAGGAAGGAATATGACTGGTTTGTGGCTAGAGCACTGGTCCCTGAATGAAGATGACCTAGACCCCACTGTGGCTTGTTGAGGGACCCTCCTCATACCTTAGCCTCTCCTTTCCAAGATGGGAATGACACTGCAGTCCCCCTGGAGGGACTTGTTATCAAAGAAATTTCACAAACTTCTTGAGGAAATGCTTGACCCAAGCCTTTCCCAGGATC